GGGGAAATAGTCTAGAATAGCTGTTCTGCAGTGGCTTTTCGGCAATAGCTGCCCATCCGGACACTCTCCTTGCTGAAAGCGCCATTCTTCAATCTGATTTAGAAGTAAACTAAATTAAATTACAAAAAGGCATCTTTAGCACAGAACGCATGTTGAAACGGCAATTTAATGTGCAGACCTCTTGCTGTTAAATTTACTCGTGACAACCTCCTCTTGCCCCCGTTGGCAAATCCTAAAAGCTGCCTGAGATAAATAAGCATGTTAATCAGAATTGAAGTTACTGCAAAGTATTAAGATGCTTCTCTCTAGCAGAATTTATTTCTCCTGCTCTGCTAAAATCTTCAACTTGTCTCTGATATTTGGGTATTTTTGCAGCCAGATGGAGCTCAGCTTTCTTCATCTGACTGGTTTTTGATTTATATTTCTTTTAAAGTACTCTCATTTTTATACTCTTTGTAGTGTTAATGATGGTCATTCTCTTACCTTGCTTTTAAGTTACATATACGAAGGAGTGCTGGGTAGCTGTTTTATAAGCTTTTTAAGAAGAAATTTGTTAAATGACACCATTTATTCCAAAAGGTCAATAACACTAAATGTAATTTTGGTGAGGAAAGAGTTAAGAAACTTCTTGGTTCTCCTCCTGCCATTAGTTTGAGCCAGGAGACAGCTCCCCTGACTTGAGTCCTGGATCAGCTTGTTGGCTCCACTGAGCAGTAATAGAGGAAAAAGAGGAAGAGAATCTATAAGCAAGAATGCCTCTATATATAGAAGTTTTCCGTGAAGCACCAGACACTCTTCAAGAATTAATGGCAAATTGGCCCAAATCATGTAGTGCTTACAAACTACACTGAACTTGCTGTTTCTGCTCCAAAGATGCATTGACATGTTTTCTTTGGAACTGCACAGCCAGTCTTCAACAAAAATTACCAGTTCCATTACATCCAGTTACTTGTACTGCTTCTTATTTATAATCCTGTATTGCTTGTTACTTAACAATTATTGCACATCATGTATAAAACTTAATGAGCAGCAAAGTTAATTGATTGTTCTGACTTGGGCTGGGGGAGGAAGTAGATGTTATAGGATATTTGGAAAATAATGAATTAAATTATCAAAACAGGTAGCCGTGCAGGGAGGCAAGACCTCTCTTCCCTCCTAAATCCTTCTGCTTAGTTCTCTTGCAGTTGTAATCCTGCCTGCACAGAAAAAAAAAAAAAGAATTCTGCTTGCTCTTATTCCATTTGCAGGCTAGTGGATAAAAAAGGACAGAAAAATGGAAGAAGTTCTTTACTCTCTGCCCCTCAGTCTCATCCCTTGCTTACAAGAGCAAGTATGCGAGGACTCAGAAGAGGGTAATTAGCTGCATTTTTAGAACAGGAAAACATCTTGTTTCCCGCTGCATGGAAGAATCTGGGGTGGGATAGGGAATTCATTCTCAAGGCTGCACAGCAATGAACTTGTGGCTTACTTACTCAAAGCAGCCTGAAACGCTAGGAGCGTAGCCAGTAAATACAATGTGATTGCTTGGTATTGCAATGTGATTGATGGGTTTTGCTTGGTAGAAGGTCCAACATTAGTCATTACAGCAAGGCATTGCGTGTAAAAAAAAAAGCGATCAGGATATTAGAACCTATAAAGGATGAAATATGAGAGACCTGGAAATGCCCCGATGCATTTGCAGAGTGCTGAAGGCACATTGGTTCCCTCCAGTAATGCTAACATTGGCTTTCGGCTATTTGATCACACAAGAAACAATACAGGACTTCATGTTTCAACTGTTTCCACTCAAACCTGTTTTGCTGCTGCTGTTGTGAGGGATGGAGGCAAGTTTATCACTGAAGTGTTGGACCAAGAAAGTCCAGGCAGCTGATGAGATTGTGTATCTGTGGTTCCCAGGAACCCGCACTTTGTGTTGTTCTGATGAAAGAACTTGGGGCGCTGCCATTTTAAAAAAGTAATTCTTTTCTAGCTGTCATCACATACTGATGCATAGGGTATGCTCAACAACAGCTTCACCCCTCTTGTTTAATGATGACCAATATCAGATATCTCTGTTACACTCTTGACATTCTTAACTGTCCATAACAGAGCGAGGGAATTACATTTTTCCCTAGTGTTATACAGACCAATACATCGCCTCAAGTATATCCAATGGTTAGCAAAAACGGGTGGCCTGCACGAGCAGAAGACAAGCATGAAACCTGACTGACCTCACGCAGTAGACTCTATTGTTTGCGTCCATTGCAAATACAGGGATTCCTTTCGTTGCTAAAATATGAGCAATCTGAGCTGCTGCTTGTTTGGCAGGATGGCAGCTGAGCTCTGCTCGCAGCGATAAGAGCGCAGCCTCCGTTAGCCTCTTGATCGCTGCATTATGCAAGCAGCATAGGACTGAGCAAAAGGCTTTTAAAGAGGCATTAGGATTCTGTTCATTAGAACGCAGTGTAATGTGAATAAGGCAAGCTGGACACAAGTTCCCCCTAGTGAGGGAATCAATAATAGCTTCTGCTCAAGGAGGTAGCTATAAATATACACTACGAAGATAATGAGTTTCACTAAATTATATACATATGTGTTCTGCTTGTGTGTGAATTTAAAGGGCTTAGAGATGGAAAGAAAGTATAGGAAGAACATTGAATTCATCACCTGGGTTCTTCCATTCTTTTTTTTTTAAGCAGCACTTCTGTATCTCTTTTAGTCTTAAAGTTTTGTTTCACATAGTCGCATCTTTGAATAGTTGGTGCACGTTCTCATTGTCTGAACCTTGCAGAAAAAAAATGACAAAGTTTAAGCTTACAGGAGTTTTCTTACCAAATGGCATTTTAGGCACAGGATAGAAGCAGGTTTTGACCCTGTGGGTTATGTTTCACCTTGTGGTTCGGGGCTATGACATCTTCCCCAAAAGTGCATGGGTAGAAAACCTGACGGCATAGTGGCCATCTTAGTGGAACAAATGAATCTGCTTTTCCTGGTTTTTCCAGAAGCTTCACACATAACTATGGGCAATTCAATTCTATTCTTCCTGATACTGTTCCCTAAAAGAGGTAAACTAATGGCAACATTAAGGTGTTCTGATACAACAGTTAGGGATGCCATATGTGCAAATCTGTGTACACAGATTTTGGTCCTTTTGGTACTGTGAATCAAAATTACTTGCCTTGTGTGACTTACTTTATGAAATAACAGATTATTGCTACCCTATACAGACTGGAAATGATTCTTGGAAAACTGAAAATTACGCCAGTAATTCCTTTTCCCCGTTGCCCACAAATTCAGTTTGGTTGCAAATACAGAGTCACTCTCTGGCGATAATAGTCACCTAGATCTAGAAATCCTCTCAAATGTACATGTATTTTTCATGTTTCACTATATTCAGATGGGTTTATTATTAGCCAAAGATGGTGGACTTGAAGGGTGTGCTTACATAGGAAAGGTCAGTAGTCAAGGAAATAAATACTCAGAAAAGCCGTTCTCATATGTGCAGGGTTTGCACAGATGGATAATCTAAGGAACACAGAGGAAATAATCGGGATCTCAGTGGTATTAAAAAAAACAACAACAACAGCATCTCTTCTGTGTGTTGTGCACTCACTGCTAAGCGTTCAGACGACTGTCATCTACAAATGCTCATCCCTAGTCCTGAGTCACGTCTGGTGAAAAGCACCGTTTCAGGAATTGCATGCAGGAGACTATTTAAAGGAAAGGGAATCACAAGTACAAGATGCAGCTTGCCTTTGAAGTGAGCATTTGAAGCTGAGTAAGGTAAATGCAGCATTCTGCCCCCTCTTTGCACAGAAATACAGAGCTGCGCTACGGAAGTGCAGAGGGGTTTATCCCTTCTCTGTACGCAGAGCAGCTCTACCGGCAGTGGCCATCGAAGTGGGTGAAGAACCTCCTTGGGGAGTTAATGCCCTCTGTTACGGCACCCACCGGAGATGCCCAGCCAGGACTGCAGCTTCAGGAACCGCTGCTTGGTGCCAGGGGTGGCTTCCCAGCAGCTGCTCACAGTGCCCAGGCCAGCAATTCTGTGTTTCTGTCAAAGGGAATACATATGGGAGCAGTCTACAAGCCATGCTGGACATGTAATGTATCAGAAACTAAGGTGAATTTTTTTTCTCTTACAGCTGCGGAATCAGCAGTCTTAATGAATTATAAAAAGGCATACAGCTGATTCAGCTGTAAACGTTTTTGATGGCCCAACTCTTGCAACAAAATTTACTTTCTGAAAGTAGAACAGCTCTCAACTAGTGCAGATTGTCAATCTGGACAACTTAAAGAGTTATGTGTATTTAAACACATTGCTTTAAAATTGTCAATCTTATTTATTTTGAAGTGATCATTTGATAATTCTAAAAAATCTATTACATTTCCTTTGAGAAACATGTTTTAAAAGACTCATCATCCATTACCAAACAGTATTCCAGGATGTATACACATTCTGAATGACTAACTTCGCTGAATCAAAGTGATGGTGCAGCTTAATTCTACATTTATTGGCAGTAACATTCATAAGCTTGTTTTCTGTATGGGAAAACCAACATTTTGGGGAAGTATTTTCTTCAGTCTTCTAGAAGTTGACAGCCAGAGCTGATAGAAGGGTGGTGTGCAGAACTCACGTGTGTTCTGGGAGATGTGATGTCTCTTCAAGTAGAGTTTTTAAGTGGGCTGTCAACATACAATCAGCTTCAGGAATATCCCTCTTCAAAAAAGCGGAATCTAATGTGACAGTAATTATTTTCTTTTAACCCTTTTTGAAGATGTAATAGTTTTATTTAATCTTAAATGGTTTTGTGTACAAAGCTGCTGAAAGGCCATGGGGATGACTGCTTGTGGGAGCTCTCGAATGCCAGTGGCAAAAAGGTGCGATCTCCCCCTCCACAGCAACGCGCACAGTCCTTACAACACATTGATAGGTTTTGTTCCTGCTTGCTTTTCCACTTGTTTGCGGGGGAAGGTGTGAGTATATCTGTAACACCTTCCTACAACCTTTACGTTTACAGGGACATGGCTGAAGAGTAGCTTGGGCCTCGTACAACAAGAAGGAAATCAGTTGACTTGGACTTACATTGCACCTCAGCTGGGCTACTGGGTTGCAGCTATGTCACCTACTATCCCAGGTAAGATGGAATTGAGTTTTACTGATAGTCACAGCATTGAGTAATTATTTATTCATATATAATGTTTGTATTTTTCAGAATGACTTCATCTGAGATGCCACAGCTTGATCAATAATGGATTATTAGAAAACAGAATTCTGAAAGTAAAGGGTTAAAATCTTTTGGGGATTGTGGGGGGCAACCTTTGTGCTCAAAATCTCTGAGTCATTTCAATGGGAAACTTTTTTAAGTGTTCCCGCTTTGATGCATTTATGTCACCACTGCCTGGCAGAGCCATTGCTAGAAAATGAGGGGAGTTACAACATCAATGTATTGGTGTTCCAGCAGGTAGAAAAATACGTGATGGGAAGTTTCTGTACGGAAACTCCCAAAGCAACAGATTCAGCTAAGACCAACATCATCCTGGGTTAGATGTTTACTAATGGATTGATTGACTGTAACTCTTTTTTTTCTTTGGTGCTGAAGATGCCCATTTTGCCCCGACTTACGCTTTGCATCATCTTGGTGACTGATTTGCACTGCAAAAAACTTAGCGTAGAAGTTGTAGGAAGTGTATCAGTAGATGAGCTGACTGGTTGCCATCTGCAAGCCTCCTGGCATAACTGTAGAAAATTTGAACTAGGCTTTTTGTGTGCTTCTGTGCCTGTGGAGATTATGAATGTTACAGCTTGCTCCTCCTTGGTTTTGTCTATGGCTGCCTCAGATTTCTTGGTATTAGCTCTTCAGCCACCAGTAATCAGAGATACCTCTGTGTAGAAACGAGCCAATCAATCAAACGAAAAACTCCTCCTCTTACAGGTTTTCTTTATTAGGTTTTCTGGATGAAAACCAAATACAGTAGGAATGAAAACATTCTTGCCCTGGCTGGGCAAGCTAAATAAACTATATCTAACCAACAAAACAAACTCTGACATGAGGGCTGTTTTTAAAGTCTGCTTGTTTATGCCATGAAGTTGTTTCATGATGTGCAGAGTATTTGGAGGTTTTTGCTGTGTTACACCTTATGCGAGCTTTTTATTTGAGGTTATATTAAATGAAACTGCTGGAGTATTCAGTAGATTCATCGCTCAACAGAGTTTAGAGGCAGGTGCAGATCTGAATAAACTATCGAATTTAATGGAATTTTAGAAAACAATGGTACTTTAAGAAAAAGCAATGGCTCTGAGCCAAACATTTCCCAGTACAGCTCTGTCCCAGACTGGGAGGAAGGCACACCAGTCATAAAATTGTGCCTGTAACTCTAAGGTTAGAAGGCCTGTAACTCTAACAGGAGAAGCTTATTTATCCTTGCAGTTTAACTTGTGTGGCAGAATTCTACTTGTAATTTATTTTTCCTTCTTTCTGAGGGCTAGATCTGGGTTCCTAAAATTTTGTTGCAATGGGAACAACACTTTTATGAAAAATTCAAGTGATTTATCTCTTCTTCTTTTTGCTTAATGTCTCGAAGCAACAGTATCAATCAATTATGTAAAGGTAGTGGTGGGACAGAATGTATAAATATTCAGATTTTTCAAATGCAATATACCTGATGTTATTTTTAATCAGGTTAATGTCTTTTTGCTATTTTGTCTCCTCATTGAATCTGTTTGATTTCTTATCTCAAAAAAATGGACAAAAATGAGCTTTGTATTCCTAGCAGTGGCTCTACAGGCCACTCAAGATCCACAGATGAGGCTTTACAATCCTCATGATCTAGAACCTTAATGTTGGCCAAGTTTGCTGTCCTTCACAGTACATGCATGTTACTCTGTCAGCTGGTGCTGTACCTCCTTGTCTGCAAATGAAAATTTGGGCCTTTATTTCAAAGTCACGATAAGGATTTTCCAAACCAACAGGGTTGCACGTGCATAACTGTGAATAGATGCTGTCCACATGTGTGCATTCCCTTGTATGTTAGAAGATGTACTAAGCCTTATTGAAACCTGGAGTTACAACACTGTTTCGCTAGTGGCCTGGTTTTTAGAGCTACTGAAGATGTGCTTGGCTTGGCTTGATCTAGACCTAAGAGCACCAACACATCTTCCAATGAATCCTGTACTGCACTGTATGTACCATTTAGTGCAAAGCACCAGAAATGTTAAAGAGAAGTTGTTGGCCACAGTGCTGCTACATCCATTACAGTACTGGAAGATGCTGCAAAGGCTTTTCTCCAGTGGTGAGAGCTTTGGTGCACCGTGTCGGCATCAGGACTTGGAAGGCAGCCTTCACTGATGCATGCTCCTGTTGAAACTAACTGCTTTCCCACAGAATGATCTATTTGGACTTGTAGTCATGAAAACCAGCACATGCTTTTTCCACAACTTGCTCCCTTCACCAGACATGGTCTGCTCAGTAGGCACCAGGGCTGTGAGGGGCAGTCTTGCTCACTTAGCACCCTGATAACGGGAAGATGTCCCTCTCTTTGTTTGAAGTGTTGTTCCTCTTCCTGTTTACAGGTTGTTACAGGTCTAAATTCTCTTTTCTGGCCTTCCAGGTCCCGTTGTAACACACGACATTACCAGCTATCACACAATGTTTCTTTTGGCAATTTTAGGAGGGATGGCTCTCATACTTCTAGTCTTGCTGTGTCTGCTTTTGTATTATTGCAGGTAAGATTCACCATCCTGGTTACTTAGTTCATGTTGGAATGTAAGCTTTTTTGTGCTCATGAAATTAAAAGATTTCATGTTGAAACATTCTTTGGGAAGCACTTGAAGAAGAAAGAAACAGATCAAATTTCCTGTGTTCCTGGTTACATGCAGCATATACAGTTGCTGCTTTTGGTAAGATGGTAGTTGAATGAATCACATACACCTGTACCTGTGTTTTCCTTGTAAGATGTTCTAAAACCTCCTCTCGAACATAGGCACAGGTCCAAGATCTCTGTCATTGTATCTGTTCTGCACTTGCAAGTGATCTTTTTATTAGCCTTATATTAATATGAATGTTAAACTTCTATCAGCAAGTGTATATTAATGAGTGATTTTTTATTTGCCTCCTCCAGACATTTGCTCCAATTTGTAATTGGTGCTTGAGATATTTTCCAGTTGACATTAGCTATTCCTTAATTTTGTCTTTGCTGCTGGGATAAGCTTTTAATTGTTAGGTTATGTAATAGAAGCTCAATTCCCATAATATTAATCACTGCTTTAAGATCTCCCATTAAGACACACACTTGCTGTTCTTGTTTCTGTGTACAACAGTCACAAATGTATAACTTCTTTTGTTACCGGCTTTTATAGAAGAAAATGTTTAAGACCACGTCAGCATCACAAGAAACTGCAACTTTCCACAGCACTGGACACTTCTAAGAAGGATCAAGCAACCTCTATGTCCCATATAAATTTAATATTTTCACGTCGCGAGTCAGAATTTCCTGGCGGGCTGTCTGTTGCTAGCAATGGACACACTGAAAACTCAGGTGCAAAGGAATTAATCAGTGCCGTCCACATGGAGATGGTATCGCCTAGTGGAGAAGCAGATATGCATACACCTATGCTCAAACACTCATTCAGTACTTCCCAGGAGTTCAGCTCCCGAGAAGAGCTGCTGTCTGACAAGGAGAAAGACAAGAGCAGAATTTCCTTAGATGACCTGACTCCCAGCGGGTCTCTAAGAAAAGACTACCACAAATCAGCAGATAGTTTTCCTTTAAAGCCAAGAAAATCTACAGAAGTGGCTGAAGGCTATGAGTCCCCTATCAAAGATGAGTATAGGAGAAGTTACAATGCTATGCTGTCTCAGCCTTTATTTGAAAAGCAAGAGAGAGAAATTCAAGTATCTATGAACCATATTGCTACTGGAAGTAAATACAATATTCAGGAACAAATATACCCCACACCTTCAGCCCCTGAAAAAGAGCTGCTGGACTGCAGACCTACTGATTGTATGATGTCTCGTTCAGTTGATCACCTTGAAAGACCTACATCTTTCCCTCGACCAGGTCAGTTAATCTGCTGCAATTCTGTTGACCAAGTCAATGACAGTGTTTACAGAAAAGTTTTGCCTGCGTTGGTCATTCCAGGCCATTACATGAAATTGCCAGGAGAACACCCTTTTGTTAGCCAGCCACTGGTTGTCCCAGCTGACCAGCAGATTGATATAGAAAGACTTCAGGCTGAGCTTCCTAACCCTCACGCACGGCTTTTTCCACACCCCCCCCAGCAGCTGCAACCCCAACAGTTAGCATCCCAGGCAATATCTCAGCAACATTTGCAAGACGCAGGTGCAGCCGAATGGAGTCAACAAAATGCTTCCATGTCTGAATCCATTTCCATTCCTGCCTCACTTAATGATGCATCCCTGGCTCAAATGAATAGCGAAGTGCAGCTTCTTACGGAAAAGGCTTTGATGGAATTAGGAGGCGGAAAGCCATTGCCTCATCCTCGAGCATGGTTTGTTTCTCTAGATGGACGTTCAAATGCTCACGTTAGACATTCATACATCGATCTCCAAAGAGCTGGTAGGAATGGGAGTAACGATGCCAGTTTGGACTCCGGTGTTGACATGAATGAACCAAAATCTGCCCGAAAGGGAAGAGGAGATCATCTGTCTGCGCCTCAGAGTCACCCACCAGTGCAAGAGCACCAGCAGAGAGAGCGGAAGGTTTCAGATAGCACAGCTTACACACAACTTGTGTACTTGGATGATATGGACCAAAGTGGCAGCGAGTGTGGAACAGCAGTTTGTAGCCCTGAGGACAATGCTCTACGATGCCTACTAGAAGGCACGAGTAAGAGAAGTGGCGTGCAGCTGCCCAGCCTGCAGGAGGAGACAAGAACTGTGGATACCAAACCAGAGCCATTAACTAGTCCTGAACACAGACCATCAGTTCAAGATGATGAGGAGGATGAGGAGGATGAGGAAGATGACCAAGGTGAAGATAAGAAGAGCCCTTGGCAGAAACGAGAGGAAAGACCACTAATGACTTTCAATCTAAAGTGAGCTATTGTGAAAATCCACCATTCAGTGGAGTATAAAATTGCCAAATATTCTTTCTGTGGAAGTGCTTGATTGGTTTTTTTTTTTTCTTTTTTTTTGTTGTGGAGAGAAAAGAGAAAAACAAACTGTGGTGAGAAACATTTGAAAGAACTTAATGCATTACTGTGTAAATGTTAGAAAAGAATTAAAATCATTCCTCTGATTTAACGGCTGCCTCCAGTGAGATAGCTGAACAAAGAGTGTGATTGTTATTCCATATACTTGATATTGGTCATCCAGGATGTTGAAAATATTGACAAATTGTTTTGGTTGGTTTATGACCTCAATCTCCTTATCAATGGGAGCTGGTAAAGCTTTTGTTTTGTAGGCCAATTTTATGTTGATAATGCTACTGAAAGTATCTTAAAAACAAGAGTTTGACACATGGTGTCCAAAATCGTGCATTATCTCAATGAAAGGCTATGCATTGCTGCTTTTAGTAATACGTTGCTTATACTATGCTTTTCTTAATTTTACAAGTTGGTTGTAAACATTTTATGTCCTTTATTATAAACTACTCAGCAATTTATTTTAAAGTAAAACTGCAGGAAACTTGAGTAGCATCCCTTAGCATTGAAGCCTTTTTATGAAACCAAACTGAACTTTTGTGTCAACTAAGATTCCTCCAATTCTGGTCCCATTTACTCAAAGTGCCTTTTTTACAGTAACAATGAACAGTCCCTTCTTTTGCTAACTCCTTTTAATTGACCCCATTTGGGATTTTATAAACTCCTGAACTTCTACCTTTTATTTTAAGCTGCATGCCAAGAGTCCCATTTTGTGCTGAGCATTTCTCATTTCAATACAGTGTATTCTGTAGCTATCATGTATATTGTGGATTCTGTTTAGCCAGGATAGACTTAGAAGACATTTTAATGGGCCCAGAGTAGCCAAGAAGATAGTTTCATTGACTGTATATATTGTTAGTTTCCTCTGGAATCATATGAGCTAATCATGCTCATATAAAATGGACTATAGACCGAGCAAGTGGACTGAATGTGTCTAGAAAAATTTTAAAAAGAAAAAAAAAAAAAACTGTACTACCCAAAAGTGCCAGAATGACTCTTCTGTGCTTTCTCCATACAGAGCTGCTTGGTTATCCAAAAATTATAATTGAAAATAAACTGCAAAAAATATCTTTGTGGATTTTTTCCTCTGTTGGTGGTCATCACATTGTTTTATATTATTTAATAAGAAAAATACTTTGGTTTCACTTTTGCTATGCATCCTTATGCTTCTGTGACTTACTAACATGCTTTCTTATGAACTTCAGTCACTACTGAAATTTAGACCCCTTTTCAGAAAAGCATCCTCCCTGTCTTGATAAATATGTAACTATTTGCCCAAGTATCACTGAAGACTTTGGAAGTGAAATCCTGGTATTACCAAAATTCTCTATGGAGTCAGGTTTCCCGTGGGACCAGTTTTCTTTCTGAGATTTCTGTGGGTACTCACACGTACTGCACGCTTCTGAGTTCTTCATGAATTGGGTTCAAAGAAGGGAATGTATGTGACTTCCACTCTTGTGGAATCCTTCGTAAACATTCGGTTTATCATGTTTCATTCAATTATTTTTATGCAGCATTAGCAGCAGTCATGCTTAATAAAGTTAATTATTATGTAATCTCTAAAGTGATAAGAGAAAGTGTTGTTAAATATTCCTATTTAATTTTTAATAATAAGCCCTGACTCGGATTCATTGCTCTTTTTTTCAGTAGACTTCAAGGTTTTCTTAGAAGGCCAGGGTTGTAATTTCCATCTTACTGAATGTGTTACCTGGCAGTCTGGGCTTGAGCCAGGAACTGAATCCCGATTTCCTAGTTCCCAGTCCAGTGCTCCTCTCCATCCGCAAAGCCACATTGTCTCTGTTTTGCTTTAATTAATGTTTGGAAGTGGTATATGTCATAAAAGAAATCTAAAATAATATTTGTGGAGTGCATTGAATATTGAAATCACTGGTTTAGCAGTAAGTTATGTTTTAGTCATCACATGCGTTCCAGGTCCGTTCCTGTTCTGTTCAGGAATTTTGCTGCTGATCACCTGTGAACTGGCTCTGGGGTCTGAGTTTCTTATTGTCGGTCTGTGCAAGGTCGCTGGACAGAAGAATACTGAAGGAGTGGTATTTATCGGATGTCAGTAAGTGCTGGTAATACTGTGTCACTTATTAATCAGAATGCTGCATCGAGTAGACATTCTGGTTAAAATTCCTGCATACTAGAATTATTATGCTATTTAATTTTCAACTTCCTGTTGTCTTTAATCTGTCATTTTTAATTACATTATTTTTCAGATTCCTTTGCAAAGTTTCCATCGTTATTATCTTGTAAAGTGAGATCGTTGCTATTAAATTGCAGTGGTTTGTTTCTTTAATTGTGTTGGGTTTATGTTCAAAGCACAGTTTGATGATTTGTGGTCCTAATACAGCAAATATATTTGAACAAACACCGTGTGGATGTTTTGCAAATCTTCTTTAAAGTAGCATTTTTTAAATTGCTGTGATATCACCAGCCATATAGGAGTTTGATTTTGCAGAGTATATAGCTTATGAAATGTAATTCTCAGTGTATCCAACACATATGAGCCACCTGTTAAATGAAATTGGAACAGGGTAACACAGATCAGATTATGGGTTGAGATTAGAGTGTGTCCACCGTACACACTTCGTCTAATCTTACAGTCCAGTGCCAAGTTCTGTGTTCTACTTTTCAAAAATATACTGAGGAAGACACTTTGGTAAAATATGAAGAAATTTTGTTGCTTATATTTTGCAGTTGTACGGTGAAGCAAGTACCAATAACGGTTATAAAACATAGAGAAGAAAGTATAACTTGAAGAGGTTTTGGCATGAGCAGCTCCAAGTGATCGTAGTCCATGTAGAAGATAACTTAGAAAAGCAGTTGGTTTCTCAGTTTTTGATGACAAGTATTAACAGGGAAAAAATGCAAAAGATTGTAATGACAAAGCTTACAAAAGTAATGAAAATACATTGGACTTCAAAAAAATACTAGGAACAGGTCCTCAATTAATCTATCAGCAATCAGGATTTTCAAATGAATAATGAATGAAAGAGTAAAGATAATTTTTAAATCTTAGGTTATATTATCCAAAGTCCACTTATATCATAGGGCCTGTTTGGAGTTAATACACTCATTAAGAGTCCATTTATTTCATTTTTCCCCAGCTCCCAACCTTGACTTATTGTGATAGTGACCTTTTATTATTTGATTAAGTGCTTCGTCAGGGTACCAGCATGCTAAAACCTCTACAGATAGAGAAGAAAATGGTTCCTGCCTCAGAGCATTTGCAATCTAACACATAACACAAATACACAAAATTGTGGTACTGAGCTTAGATGAACAACTTACAAAGAAACCCCACCATTTAGAAATTGCTCGTGATGCTTTTCTTTCTTACAGGAAGGAATGAGTAGCTTTAGTAGAGTGAATTAAGCACTCTTGAAATACCTTGGCAGTATTTTCATTTTCTGCCCTTCATTTTATCTCTGTATGCTCTGGAGGACCAATTTTATGTCAATATCTTAAACCAACATGGTTGAAATTGGTAAGATACTACATGTCCCGTGTTGGGTTTAGCGTGCAGAACAGTACAGGTATAAATAAGCAAGTGCTGGATTAGGTATTTACTCTCTCTAGGAAGGTCCGTAGTGAACCAAAACAGGTGTTCTTTTTTTCTTATCCAAGGAGAATTCGTCTGAGGATTAAAGCTTGTTACAACACAGCACTATCAGTACTAAAAACTACAAACTATCAGTAGGCTGTAACCTGGGGCATGGGCCATGGATGGCAGCCATCCACTACCTCCTTGGACTCGGTCAAACGAGAAGAAGAACGTCAGTTTGCTTTTCTAAAATGTGTGGGTGACAGATAAGGTTTTTTTTGAATCAGCACTGCCATTTGGGTCTCTTTAGCATTTGAAATTCTTAAAAGTTCGAATCTATGCTACCTGGTGGTGGTTTCTCCATAGGTACTGTGTATAAAGCACAGTTTATCATTTCAATATAAGCACGGTTTATAACCTCAATAACACCAGTAAGCAGCTGGCACGAGATCATCAGTTGTTTCATGGACCTGTTCTCAGTCCAAGCACAGAGATCCCCATCAGCTTGAGAGACCTTGCCCAGCATCTTAGCTGGGGCAGTATTCAGCTTATAACATCTCTGTTCAAATCAAAATGCATCATCACTGATGTCAGCATAGTGTGTTCAAGTGTAAATGTGCCTGTTTTATCTCCCCTCATGAACAGCACTTTGGTTTTACATTAAAATAAAGTTAAAACAATTTTAACTACTAACTTTCAAAATTTGAGAAAAATAAGAGTAACTCAATTATTATTCTTTTCCTGTTCCTCTGCTTACAGACAAATGTAAGCTGTCAGGTTCAGTGCTAACCTTATACGATACATACACACACACACCTTGGTTGACATATATACATATATAAGCCATATATGTTATGTATAATACATCATATATCCTATATCCTACATGGCTATATACACACACACACGTGATATTTTCACAACATCATGATATTTTCATTATACGGCTGATATTTTCATTTCCAGGCTGCAGTTTGTTTGGAATTGGAGCTTCGAAGAGATGGGCAGGCAGCAGCAAAATTTCTTTTCAGACCAGAGGAGCGTTTTTTTATGTTACTCGTGTAATTCCAGCTGATAAACTGACACCACACACTCTCCTCTATTTGACATTACTAACAAAGAGTATCTAGTTCTTTTTAGCAGCAGTCTTCTGGTATTCACAGATTATTAGCTTGCAGAATGCGGCACCTGGTCTGTTATCACTTAACTGAAGTACTTCTTGTTTTATTGATGTGCTTTTCTTCTAGGAATAAACAGTACCAGTTAGTATGTTTGATCATTAAATATCTCTTCTGCCTTGGAAATTTACAGCCGCAGGGAAGGAAAATGTGACGACAACAGGGAGG